CCAGCGAACGAGTCAGAAATCGTTTACGATAAGTATCACTTAATTAAAATTTTCGACTTTTTCTTTATAGAAGATTGTCGGAAATTAGATCTGGCTCAACTTCGGTGCGTTTTTCCTCCTCGAATTCTTGGCACGCTGTGATCGTAGTCTTTTTTCACTCGTGTCGAGTTTGACTAATCCTGCTGACTACTTAGGGGAAATACACCGAGAGCTACTATTCAAGGTGCAATTTCCACAGGACTCTCTACGGCCAGATCATTAAAAGCAGAACCTCCCATTGAAAAATATAAAGCCACATATGGTGTTTGTTATCGTATCTCCTTGAAGTTATTTCCTAAAGATTCAGAAGTTATTGCTTTAATGGATATGAATCCTCCTCCCGACAATGTAAACCAAAATCCTCCGGTAAGAAAACCTCGTCCTAAAGCGCGAAAACTTACTTACACTAAAAAGAAAACACAAACACAAGCAAAAAAGAAGAAACTTCCACCAAAAAAAATAGCTAGTGCAAACAAAAAGATCACGCAAACGAATAGATCTACTAAATCTCGAAAACAGCTCTATCATTACACGTCGGAAAGCGATTCTGAGGAGAGTGATTCTGATGATAGCGACTCTGATGGTAGTGAAACAGATGATAGTGATACCGAATCATCAGATGAACAACCTTCACGTAAAAAAATTGCTAGATATCATTCTACAAGCGATTTTACAAGTGAGAGCGAATCTGATTCATCTGAAAGCGATATATCAATGAATACATCACAACAAGACACAAATGATACACTACAAAATGAGTATGATCTACCCTAAAAATATATATATGTTTTTTTTTTTTTTTTTTTTTTTAATATTAACTTAATAACAATAATAATAACAATAATTTTTTTTAATATCTTATTAATTATATAGGATCGATGACTTCAATTCATCACTGTGTACAACGAATGAACCATCAGATTTTGATATTAATTTATCCATTGGTCCCACATCATTTGCAGTTGCTCAGGAAATCGGTTATTCTTATGCTCGATTTCGTCATCAAGGAAACATGAGATATCCAAAATCGAATTGTGAAGACTCATTTTGTATTAAAGATTTAAAAAATTTGGATGGATCTTTATTATGTAGATTATTTTGTTTAGCAGATGGGCATGGAGGTCCGGGATGTTCTGCATTTTTAACTACTCAAATACCAGAATGTATAGAGAATATGCTACGTCAATATGATTATTCACAACTAGATGACCAAGATGTCCAAGACAAGTTTAAACAAGATATGATTTTGCTTATTAAGCATTTAGACGATGAATATCTTGAAGCGAAACGTGAGGAATATCTAAGATGGCAGGTCCATGAAACTTCAGCAGAACCAGTTGATGATGGTGCTACTCTAGTTATCAATCTATTTTTTGGTGAATGGTTCATTAATATAAATGTTGGAGATTCCCGCACACTTATTGGTTGTAAAACAGAAAATAAGTGGATAGTGGAATTTTCCAGTGAGGATCATAAGCCATATTTAGAACGTCTTGCCTTACAAATCTATTCCAATGGTGGTGTGTTTGTGGATAATCAGGATAAACCTATAAAGTTTGATCCATTTCCTCAAGATCGTAATGTTCGTCCAAATTTGAAGAATGCGCGAATTAGATTGCAATCCGCTGATAATGAACTTGGTGTGCCATATAAAAATAATAATGGCATTCATTTTTCACTTAATGTCGCTGCAACTTGTGGAGATTTACTTTTCAAATTGGATCCTTCAAGACCAGTTATATCTTGTATGCCAGACATTTTTTTTGAAAAATTAGGGCCATTCACGGAGTATAGTGGGAATAGGTTTATGTTAATGAGTAGTGATGGATTATTTGACCATTTGTACTCGAATAAGGCAGAAATACAAAACCAAACGATTGCTACATGTATCGGACAACAACTGGATGCTGGATGTCAGTTAAAGAAAATTGTAGCTCATCTTTGTAATCGAGAAGGAGATCGACATTTATTTGAAAATACTTTGCAGGAATATGATGATTGTACATGTATATTAGTATTGATGTAACATATTTTTTGATTTATGTACTTTGTAGCTTTGTTATTTTTTTGAAAAAATTTCAAAATAACATGCTTTTCATATTTTCTGTTAACTAGGTTTGCAACTTAATTGTTTGAAATTTACATTAAAATTATATATATGTGTATATATATGCTCTCTCTTTTTTTTTTAATATACAGTATATTTATAACTAATTTGCTAAATCAGTGTAATCGCTTATATATTATTAAATCTACAAATTTCTAGTAAAAATATAAAAGTTAAATTAATTATAACGACTGCGCCACGATTTGATCGAATTTATAGTTTGGGTGGCTTGGAAATTCAATTCGTTCTCCAATATTTGAAAACAATCAATTTAAAAATGGAGAAGGTATTTGTATTGTTAATATTAATTGATCTCACCTTTTTAAGAGGTACTGATTCAGTCGTTTTATAAATTTTATATAGTTTGATCGAAAAGCTGATGAAAAATTAGTTTTTGAAACCAGTGAAGATGTCAAAGTGTAAGCCTTTAACTTGAAAACTTTTTTTATTTCATTACATTTTATTTTACACAAAAGCATTTCATATTTTTTTTTTTTAGAGTTCCCACCTTTGATTCTATAGGATTGAAGGAGGATCTTCTAAGAGGGATCTATGCTTATAGTAAGTGTAATTTTTTTTTTTTTTTTAAATGAAATTAATAAACTCAATGATATTACCAATTGTGCATTGATACTTAAGATTTTGAAAAACCGTCGGCAATTCAACAAAGAGCTATCGTTCCTATAACTAAAGGCCGCGATGTAATTGCACAAGCACAGTCTGGAACGGGTAAAACAGCTACTTTTTCCATCTCTATCCTTCAATGCATAGACACAACAGTCAGAGAAACCCAAGCTCTTATTCTCTCACCTACGAGAGAATTGGCAACTCAGATACAGAGTGTAATATTAGCACTTGGTGATTACATGAATGTGCAATGTCACGCATGTATAGGAGGAACTAGTGTTGGAGAGGATATTCGTAAACTAGATTATGGTCAACATGTTGTTTCCGGTACACCAGGTCGCGTTTTTGACATGATCCGACGTCGAAATTTACGAACTCGTCATATAAAGATGCTTGTATTAGACGAAGCTGATGAATTACTTAATAAAGGTTTCAAAGATCAGATATATGACGTATATCGTTATCTTCCACCTAATACACAAGTCGTTCTTTTGAGTGCTACGTTACCTTACGACGTACTTGAAATGACTACAAAATTTATGACAGAACCAGTTCGTATATTGGTTAAACGTGACGAATTGACATTAGAAGGCATCAAACAATTTTTTGTTGCCGTTGAAAAAGAAGAATGGAAATTCGATACTCTATGTGATTTGTATGATACGCTTACAATTACACAGGCAGTAATATTTTGTAATACGCGTCGGAAGGTAAATAATTCTTTTTTAGGCCTTTAAATCCTAACCATTCAGTATTAAATTTAGTTAATATTTTTAGGTTGACTGGTTAACTGAAAAAATGCGCGAAGCAAACTTTACGGTTTCATCAATGCATGGAGATATGCCTCAAAAGGAAAGAGATGCTATCATGCAAGAATTTCGTCAAGGCGCAAGGTAATTAAATTTTATCTACTTTTAACACCGGTTTGTAATATTAATAATTCTTTATTTTTTTTTTTTTCAAGTCGTGTGTTAATTACTACTGATGTTTGGGCCCGCGGAATTGACGTTCAACAAGTGTCTTTAGTGTAAGTAATTTGAAATTTCTCATGGTTGATCTACATAAAAATACATCTTTAATATTCTAATAATTTATAAAGTATAAATTACGACTTGCCAAGCAACCGTGAATTATACATTCATCGTATTGGTCGATCTGGTCGTTTCGGAAGGAAAGGTAACCTTTTTTTAAGATCTATAAGGACCATTCGTTTTAATTACACTTTATTTATTTATTATTTTCGGACGATTTCAGGTGTTGCTATCAACTTTGTAACTTCTGAGGATGTTAGGATTCTTCGTGATATTGAACAGTATTATAGTACTCAAATAGATGAGATGCCAATGAATGTATCAGACTTGCTTTAAACAAGTTTTATTACAGAGTAGAATATAGACCTTAATGTTCCTGAACATAGTTCCTTATAAAAGTAAGGATTTTTTTTTTTAATTTATTATCGCCCGTGAAGTTCTCGGATTAATCGCTTGCAAAAGATATATTCTTTTTACTAATTTCCTTTATTCACTACCTTAGTATCGAGTATTCGAGATCTATTGCTACTAGTACTGATAGGAAGATAATAACGTCTTTTCTTAAGAACTGAGGTTTTATTTATAAACAAAATTTTGTCCCTTACATATTAGAATATTCATTATTTTTCATAAATAAAATTACAATTCACTAAATTAGACTTTTCTGATTAGGTTTAACTAACACAAACAAACTCGATCCATCATTGATTGCTAGTCTCGTGATTATCTTTAACCTTGTTATTAAAATTCATATTCTTACATCAATATATAAATTATACGCGAAAGAAAAAATTCTACGAACATTTATTTGCATTAGAATCTCGGAAGATTCTTAACAATTATTAGGAAATTAGTAAATAAATACAAAAAAAAAAAAAGACCTGAAAATAAACTTGATGGTTTTATGAAGTTGATGTATGTCTTTAATTAATAATTTATCATGATATATATTATTTGGATCCTAAAATATACAAAATGAACCAAATAATTATTTCCTTTATGGATAAATTACGGTTGGAATATTAAAAGTGATCAAATTATGTGATTAAACCAATTAAAAAATAGTTGATAATTTATTTTTTATATAATAAATTAATATAATTTTAATAAAATCATAAAGAAAAATCAAAAATTATATTCAAATGTTAGTATTTCTAAATTTATAATAAAATAATATCCTAAATCACATTCTGCTTGTTGATTATCAGCAGGGTGGATTTATTTATAATTCTAAATTTAAAAAAATGTAACATTTCTATTATTATTAAATTGATTATATTTTAAGATTTTTTATATTCATTTATAATAGATTCTATTATTTTATTTTAATAATGTTTTTTGATAGATTTCTTTATTATGATATATATTCTATTCTTTTTATCTATATCTTAAATAAATTCTATATTAATATCTTATTTAATAAATATTATTATATATAATTAATAATATTATTAATCTATTTTATTTATATTTTAAAGATTATGATTATAAATAATATTTTTGTAAATTTATTTGACTTATTATCAAAATATTTTTATATAAAAATAATAATTAATAAAATGTATATAATATTAAATAATAATATAATTAATAAAATTTTAATATAAATAATTTCATTTATTTTATATGAAAAATTACTTTGCTTAATTATAATCTTTTATTTATATATGATATACCATAAATATAAATAGTAACTTATATTTATTCTAATTTAAAACTATTATAACTTCTAAAACTCAATAAAAATTATTATTATATAAAAAAAATTATTAGAAAAATCAGGTTTTAAAAATTTTTTAACTAAAGTTAATATTTTATTATATAGTCAATTTTCTATAAATGCATTCCTGTTGAAACCAAGCATGAGCATACATTTATAGAGAATAAGCATTTATAGAAAATATGTTTTTAAAAATTTTTATTAAAAAAATAAATAAATAAAAAATAAGTAAATTCAAAAAACATTATTTTTATTATATGTATTTTAATATTTATTATTAATTAAAATACTGATTTATAGTAGTTTGCTGCATTGAATTTAATTTTTTCTTTTTAATAAATTTTTCAATTGTGTTTACTAATTTTATATATTCATTTGAATCTTCTTATTGAAGAAGAAATGTATGAATATTTTTTAAACTTTTTAATGCTATATTATTATTAATGATTGGAACTTCTGTATTATCATTTATTTCATCAATATTATTAATATTCTCTTTATCAGATTTTTTAAAAGTATTTACAAGATCTGCTATAATTTGATTATCTTTATGATTTTCAAAAACAATATCTTCTTTAGAAATAGTAAGAAATTCTTCTACTTTCATTACATTAGAAAGGTGAAGAACTTTAAATGTATAGTTAACTCTTGTTATAATAAACTCTATATTCTAGACCTCAACTTCACTATCCCTTAAACTGTAGAGATTCGCAGACAAATTTGCCTGCTTATTTACTATAAATTCCCTTCTGATTTACTTTTATGAAAAATTAAAATTTTTAAAAAATTTTT